ATTTTCCTCTGGTCTTATTTTTAAAGGTAGCAATGCCTTTAATCACTCTAAGTCCACTCCTCATTCATGGAACAGGGAAGAAGTTCCCTTCCTTTCCCCTGTAGTGCTGTAATTAGGAATTTGGTTGCTGTGCTGAATTTTAAGTTTTGGCACTCATGTTAAGCAGCCATCCATCTGCTGGCGAGACACAATGCCCGGGGGTTTTCAAGAAATCCCTTAATAGTCCTAAACACTAATAATATTTATATACATTGAGATGAGTCAAAATTTACAATAGGCTTCTTGGGGCTGACTCCAGGGTTCCCTAGTCCTAAACTTCCACATGTACCCCTGCCTGCCTCCCAGAATCCTCTCAGCCAGTGTCTCAGTAAGGTAATCCCCACCTCTCCCTGCCACAGTGACCTCCTGTTGATGGAGTGTTTGCTCTAGCAAACAAGTCACTTCTCCTTTTGATCTTTCCCCATCTTCCCTGGCACACCACTTCCTGTGTTGGTGCACTTTGCATCATTTAACATATATACCACCCCTGTCTGTAATCCCTTTAAGAGGAATAGTTCTGTCTGTAAAGAAACTGATGTTATCTAACTTAAGTTTGAAGGCAGTGGTGGTTCAGTGGTAGAAGTCTTCCATGCTGGAGACCCATGTTGGATTTCCAGCCAGTGTACCTCATGTGCAGCCACCACCCGTCAGTGGAGGCTTTCGGGTTACTCTGATACTGAACAGGTTTCAGTGGTGGTTTCAGACTAAGAAGGACTAAGAAGAAAGGACTAGTAATCTACTTCTGAAAAATCAACCAGTATAAACCCTATGGGTCACAATAGTCCAATCTGCAGCCGATCTTGGGGATGGTGCAGAGCCTGGCAGCATTTTGTTCCATTATACGTGGGGCTGTCATGAGTTGGAAGCTGGCTCAGTGGCAGCTAACCACAACAATTTCAACTTTACTGATATTCCTTCTGAAGTAGCATCCACCACTGAAAGAAAACCTTATGCCCTGTGCATTTCTGTTTAAACATCCATTGGGGGGTCTGAGGAGCTCTGGTGGTGTAGTGGTTAAAGCAATAGGCTGTTAACCAAAAGGTCAGCAGTTTGAACCCATTAGCTGCTCTCTGGGAGATAGATGAGGCAGTCTGCATCCATAAAGATTTACAGCCTTGGAAAACCTATGGGGCAGTTCTACACTGTCCTATAGGGTTACAATGAGTCAAAATTAACTCAGTGGCAATGGGTTGGTTTGGTTTTGAATGGATCTCTGCCAAGAGAGGCTGTTGTGAGTAGAAAAGGGCATAGAAATGCAAATAATAGCTACTGGAAAACCTAAAGATGCTTCCTATTTATTTGTTCTTTTCCTTTTTGAAATGCCCAATATTTGCGTTTAGGTATAATTGATTTCAAGCAAGTTCCTGGGGGGCATTTTCTGTCTTTTTAAAATGTTCTTGAGTTTTTATTACTGTGTTACTAGTTATTTGATATTAAAGTCTGTTACTTACCATGTTACAACACATTTTATTTAAACTGTAAGTGAGGAAAAGGTGTTCTAAAAGTAGATATTGGCCCATTTAGCCTCTGATGATGGTAAGTTTCTTAGCATTCTCTTCCTCCAGTCACAAAGTTTAGTGGGAGCTGATAGCTGACAAGCAGCCTTGTGAGATGGGAGTGCTTTCAGTTGGGTTTTGCTTAATGCTGGTGGTACTTGCCTAAAAGAGTGAGAGTATGAACATCATTCCTATAGCCGGTTGTATTTAACTATGTGGACCTCGGAAATCCTTTCTTTTACATAAGCTTTGTAGGGACAATATATCAAGGCTACAGTATCTCCTTACTTTAGTGTCTTTATTAGCTGTATCCCCATAATAGATATATTTGAAATAATAATTTAATCTGTGTGATTATTAAATGCTTTAGAGTGTGAGGTTTTGACAATAGAGAGAAAGTCTTTTATTGGAAAAAAAAATGTTAGTAAATCCAAGTTAGTGTTATCCTCTTGAAGATAATCACCTTGGTAGGCAATGTGTGCATCTCAACATTTTAGGAACTCCTGAAACATATTCGTTAAGGGGTTTGTTGTTTTTGTTGTTAGATGACATTGAGTCAATTCTGATTCATAACAACATTATGTATAACAGAATGAAACATTGTCTGTACCCAGCTCCATCCTCATAATAGTAGGTATGTTTGAGCCCATTGTTGCAGTCACTGCATCAATCCATCTTTTTGAGGGTCTTCCTTTTTTTGTTTTGTAACCCTCTACCAAGCATGATGTCCTTCACCAGAGATTGGTCCTTCCTTACAACATGTCCAAAGTATGTAAGACAAACTATCGTCATCCTGTCTTCTAAGGATCATCCTGACTATACTTGCACCAAGACAGATTTGTTCATTACTCTGGGAGTCCATGGTATATTCATTCAACATTCTTTACCAACACCATAATTCAAATGTATCAATTCTTGTTTGGTCTTCTTTGTTCTTTGTTGAGCTTTCACATGAATATGTTGTTGTTGTTATGTGCTGTCGAGTCGGCCCTGACTCATAGCGACCCCTCCTTGGGTTTCCGAGGCAGTATCACTACCGAAATCTACTTCCATAGTGATACCGCCTGGGAAACCCAAGGAGGGATTGCTATGGGCAATTGAAATGACTGTGGCTTGGGTCAGGTATACTAAAGTGACATCATTGCTTATTAAGATTTTAAAGAAGTCTTTTGCAACAGATTTGTTCTTTATGAGTAGATTAGTTTTGGGAACTATCTAGAAGTCATTGAGGGTCAATTCTGGTGAACAAAATGGCTGACTAGGCTGTGGATGTGATAAAAACTAAAAATAATTGTTTTCTTCTTGGCTTATATATTATACCTCTGAAGGTGTGTCTCAGTTGGAATTATGTAACATACAACAAATAACTGTCATTTAAAGAAGATAGATTTATTTCCTTTACATACAAACAAGTCTGGAAATAAGCAGCCCAGGGTTATCCTTGGCGGTTCCCCAGTCATGAGGGACCCATGCTCCTTTTATCATGCTCTACCATTCTTACTATCCTACCTCATGGTCTAAAGTGGCTGCTTGAGCTCCACACATTGCTCCTACATTCCAACCAGCAAGAAAGAAGAAGGCACACCCTTTCCAATTTAAGGAATCTTCCAGAAAGCTCCACACAAAAAGTTTGATTGTATTTCAGTTCTAATAACATGGAGGCTAGTATATGTAATATCTAGGTTGATAGCAATGTAATATGCCCAACTAAAAATCAAGATTGTGTTTTTAAAAAATACAAGAAGAAAATGGAAGACAATTCATTGTCTCTGTGAAAGAGTGATTTCAAAGGAGAAAGTTACTTAATTGTGTCAAGTTGACATTATCATGAGAATAAGTCTGTTCTTTTCAGAGATGAAACTATCCATCTGAATGTCTAATTTGTTATATTTCTGTTTAAACTCACCTGTTCCAATGAAATAGGGATTCTTGGACAAGCTAGTGGAAAGGTAAGTTGGTACAAATATTCCAGAGGACAGTTAGATCCAGCAAGGTCAGCTCTGGAAATCTATCCTAATGAAGTAATTAAGGAAGCTCATGAAAATTATGGTCCTGATTATAATAAAGTTGGGGATAGATAAAATGTCTAACAGTAGGAGATTGGCTGTAACTTTTGATACTCTGGATAGTGTGACGTAATGCAGCTGTGAAATGATTGTGAAATTCACAATATATTCTTTGCAAAAAAGGGGATTTCAGAATAATTTGGTCCTTTTTTGTAGGTTTTTATGTTTACATGTGCATGTACATCCATAGGGAAGGACTTGGGAGGGTCTATATGAAGGTATTGATGAGAGACCATTTGTGAGCAGATGGCCTGCATGTTTTTTACATCCTCTTTTCTTATTGGTGACTTTTTCTAGCATGTATTTTTATTTTAAGAGAAAACAATAATAGAATCTTCACCAAGCAATGCATGTCAAAGTCAAAATACATATATTTAAATATTTTTATGTTGTTTTCCATCTCAAAAAAAATGTAGGAAATGCATAATGTAAGCCAGATCTCATGTTTTGTTTGTGAGTAAGGCCAGCGGTCCATAGAGTTGATATTACAGCACTGTGATGAAAATAAATGCCAGCTCATCTCTTTGCAAGATGAATTGTGGCTCTGTGGTTAGTAGATCCTGCTTCCACTTAACTTTAGCACAGAGGGGCTTAGAGGAGATGGTTTCTAGTGTCCTGTGGTTCTTGTGGATCATAGACAGTAAACCAATCTACCCACTTTCTTGTACTAAGAGAATAACCATCAGGTATGTTAACTTCTCCATGATTTAGTACATTAGGATGTGTAAAGAACATGATAGTTAATATTGCTTATTTCTCATTGGGGGTAAAACCTTTGCTGTGTTACCATAAGCAGACACAAAGTCTCTAAAGCGATATTATAGGCCTTAGAATGGTATCCTCTTTACTCCATTGTAGTTTCCTCATTTACAAAATAAACTAGCATTTCTGCTTATGAAGAGATTTTTTGTAAGAAAGATATTGGAGATGCAGAATGAGAAAAGCATCATGCTTTTTATAAAAAGTAATAATAAACCATTGTTTGTGTAGGACTTCCACATTGCCATGTATTCCTCAGGCAATCTTCTAATGTGAATATGATTACCCTCATTTTAAAGACGAGAAAAGAGAGAATCAAAGTCAAAGAAGGAAATTATTTGTCCCAGACCAAAGAATGAATTAATGAGAGAGCCTGGGCTTTAAACCCTGGTCTCCTGACTTAGAGTACTGAGTTTTTCTCCTGTGTCTTGGAGAGCTCAGAATATGGTCTATTGTCCTATCAGCATCAAGTCTAAGGAGGAATGAAGGGCACAGGGATTGTCCTTTCACGATTGCATGGAGTTGTTGATATTCTTTATTTGCTCAAGTGAGCAATCTGTGCTGGTGGTTGTGAAGACCCAGAACATACTGGGCAGTCTTGAGACCCCTGCCAGTCTCACCCTCTGTTCTCTGCCCACAGTGTGCCCGAGCACGTGCGGAAAGCGAGCATGCACCGAGAACAACGAGTGTTGCCACACAGAGTGCCTGGGCAGCTGCAGCGCACCCGACAATGCCACAGCCTGTGTGGCCTGCCGCCACTACTACTATGCAGGCGTCTGCGTGCCCACCTGCCCACCCAGCACGTACAGGTTTGAGGGCTGGCGCTGCGTGGACCGAGACTTTTGTGCCAACATCCCCAATGCCGAGAGTAATGACTCCGAGGGCTTTGTGATCCACGATGGCGAATGCATGCAGGAGTGCCCCTCAGGGTTCATCCGGAATGGGACCCAGAGGTCAGTTACTGTGGATGCAGATGGCTCCCACCAGCACTGACCTGTCCTGGTCACTCTGGTGACTATCAGTTGTTCTGTCTGGTGGGACCATCAGGTATAATGGGATGGTGAGTCTTTTTGAGAGGAAGGTTGGGCAATCTACTTCCATAGTGATATTGCGTCGGAAACCCAAGGAGGGGTAGCTATGAGTCAGGTCCAACTCCACGGCAGTGGTTGCATTGCATTGCATTTTGCAGCATAGCTGGTGGTTTAGCAGTAGAGTTCTCACCTTCCATGCAGAAAACCCAGGCTCCACTCCTGGCCAATGCAACTCATGCACAGCCATCACCCATTTCTCAGTGAAAGTTTGCCTGTTGTTATGATACTGAACAGGTTTCAGTGAAGCTTTGTAAAGATGATAGAATAGGAAGAAAGGCCTGGCTATCCACTTCTGAAAATCAGTTATTAGAAACCCTCTGGAGCACAGTTTTATTCTGATATATATTGAGTCAGAATCAACTCCATGTTTTTTTTTTTTTTTTTTTAAAGTTACTCTTAAAGCAAAAGAAGACAGATTTTGGGTTGCTGCTGCTTCTGGAGCAGAGCAGATAACTTCTAGGAAAGGTTAGTTCAGCCACAAAGGGCCGGCTCTCTCCTTCATGACTAGTAGCATGGGAAACTTTATATTTCTGGGTTCTTCAAAATGAAACTGTTCTACAAATATAAAATACCATTAGAAAAGTATACTTGAAATTTGAATATGATGTGTGACTTACCTGATTTTTGCTCTATTTCTTTCTTTCTTTTTTTATTTATTTTTTTAATTTTTGTGATTTGGGTGAAAGCTTACAGAGCAAGTTCATTTTCCATACAGCAGTTCATACACATTTTGTTTCATGACATTGACTGCAATTCCCCACAATGTAACACCTCTCTTCCCACTTCCTCCCTATAGTTACTTCTTCCCTTTGTCCTTCCCTCTCATGCATTCCCTGCCCCCTAGCTATCTCCCTGTGCAAACACTGCCCTTCTGTTCTGTCACAATTGATCACTCTAAAGAATGTATCTGTTGTTGTTGTTGTTGTTATATGCCGTGGAGTCGGCCCCAACTCATAGCGACCCCTCCTTGGGTTTCCGAGGCAGTATCACTACGGAAGTAGGATTGCCCAACCTTCCTTCCGAGGAGTGGCTGGTGGGTTTGAACCGCCAGCCTTCTGGTTAGCAGGCAAGTGTCTTAGCCACTATGCTACCAGAGCTCCTAAAGAATGTATCTACCTGATGCATATGTTCGCCCTATATGCCTTTCCATTGTTTGGCTGGAAACTACAGGAGTGAGTTCATTTCCAGACCTGAAGGCTAACTAGGGACCATAGTCTCAGGGATCTTACTAGGCTCCATTAAACCAGGAAACCTGGTTGGTTTTTTTTTTTTTTTTTTTTTTATGATTTTGAGTTTTGTTCCACAAGTTCTTCCATTCTATTCAGGGTCTCCTTCCTGCACCAATCCCTTTCTGAGGGTTGACAATGGTAGCCGTGCACTATCTAGTTCTTCTGGTCTCATGGTCGTATAGGGTGAATGAGTGCTCTATTTCTATAAGTCTGTTTTAAGTAAGTCTTTGTAAAAGGGGCTCTGTTTCTGGTGTAATATTTGAAGATGTTGCTCCTGCCACAGGCTTACCTTCAAATCCACCATCAAAGAGAAACTCATCTTATTTCATAATATTAGATATACAACAGGAGTCCATAGGTGGTGCAAATGGTTAAGCACCCAATGACTAGGCTAAAGGTTGGTGGTTTGAACTCACCCAGAGGTGCCTCAGAAGATAGGCCTGGCAGTCTGCTTCTGAAAGATCACAACCTTAAAAACCCTATACAGCAGTTCTGCTCTGCATGTAGGGTCACCATGAGTTGGAATCCACTTGACAACAACTCACAATAATAACAAGATATACAGAAACTTTCTGCCTGCTATAATTTCTATAAATATTGTGACAGTAAAATAATTAAATACTTTAAAATAATAAATGAGCCAAAGACTCCAATGAGCCATCAAGTGTACATGTTGTTGTTGTTGTTGTTGTTATGTGCCGTCGAGTCAGCCCTGACTCATAGCGACCCCTCCTTGGGTTTCCGAGGCAGTATCACTACGGAAGTAGGATTGCCCAACCTTCCTTCCGAGGAGTGGCTGGTGGGTTTGAACCGCCAGCCGTCTGGTTAGCAGTCAAGTGCCTTAGCCACTACGCTACCAGCTACATTCAGGTGTTACATTCCTCCTGGAAGTGGGATGGATAGGGATAGTGTAGCTGGTCCATGAACTTGGTGTGACAGTGTCTTTTTTCTGTGGATCCGTTTCCTGTGATGTTTGGAGACAGTCAGTTATTCCGCAGCTACAAGAGTAGTGGCCAGAGTGAGAATGCTATGCATTTTGACAGGAGCTCTGGTAGCGTAGTGCCTAAGGCATTTGACCAGAAGGCTGGTGGTTCAAACCCATCAGCTACTCCTCAGAAGGAAGATTGGATGGTCTACTTTCGTAGTGATATCGCCTGGGAAATTCAAGGAGGGGTCGCTATGAGTCGGATGTGACTCAAAGGCAGGGAGTTTGGTTTTGGTTTTTTTTTTTTTTTTTGGTTGTTTCTTCTATGACAGTGCAGTCTTCAAAGAATTGAGCCTTTTTTCTTCCAACTCGTTCTTTGAGCACAGCTATGGAACTACCTTACCTCTTTTAAAATATACCACCATCAAGAAGTAATCCCCCTCTTAGCATTTAAGGCTTATTTGACACTTACTTTATAATATTACCCACATCTACTTCTGTAGAGATACCACCTCGGAAACCCAAGGAGGGGTCGCTGTGAGTCAGATCCGACTCGACAGCAGTGAGTTTGTTTTTTGGTGTTGGTTATAATATTAAAGGAGTTCTGGTGGCATAGTGCCTAAGGCATTTGACTGCTAACCAGAAGGTTGGTATTTCATACCCACCAGCTACTCTGCAGAAGGAAGACGGGGCAATCTACTTCTGTATAGATTTCCAGCCTCGGAAACCCAAAGGGGGTTGCTGTGAGTCAGAATCGACTTGATGACAGTGAGTTTGTTTTTTTTTTGGTTTTATAGTACTAATTTGTTTATAGTGTTTATGCCCTTCTTTCTTCTGGAATGGATTTGAGGAAGCTTAACTTATAAACATGTAATCAGAGCACTTCCTTAGAAGAACATTTTTTAAAAACTGATAGATTATTCCTAGACACTTTTAAGAAAGGTGTTTTGGTTAAAAATTGTATGTTAAAAATTGGTGGGGGAAATCTAAACCTACACTTACCTACAAACTAGCAATTTCACTCCTGGGCTGGTGGTTCAGGGGTAGAATTCTCACCTTACATGCAGGGGACCCATGTTCAATTCCTGGCCAATGCACCTCAATCACAACCATCACCCATCTGTCAGTGGAAGTTGTGCAAGAACTCATGTCCACATGAAAAACTGAACATGATTTTTCATAACAGCTTGTTTGTAAAAGCCCCAAACAAGAAACAATGCAGATAACCTGCAGTGGGTAAATGATGGAACAAAATCTACACCATGGAATATTACTTGGCAATAAAAAGGAATAAGTTATTGATACACATTATAACATGGAATTTACTGAGTAAAAAGGTCAATCTTGGAAGGTCACATTCTCTACTGTTCCATTTATATAATATCCTTGAAATGACAAAATTATAGAGATGGAGAACAGACTCGTGGTTACCAGGGGTTAGGGATAGAGGAGGGGAAGATATGAGTATGAAGAGGTGACATGAGGGAGGGCTCTGTGGTGATGGGAGAGTTCTGGTTGTCTTGGTTTTGCTGGAGGGTACACAGATCTACAATGTGACAAAACAGCAGAACTGTATACATGCATTATACCAATGTTAATTCCTTGGTTTTAATGATTGCATTATAATTATGTAAGATATAAGCATTAAGGGAAACTGCACGAAGGGTACATGGGACCTCTCTGTACTATCTTTGCAATTTTTTGTGAATCTATAATTATTTCAAAATAACAAGTTTTTCCAAAAGGGCGCGTGGGGTATAACATGGTTTGTAGATAAACTGGAAACAATAGAAGGCCAAAACATAATGCTGAAGGGGAGTCACTACCCACTTAGGAAAGAGAATGGTGAGTATGACGTCTGAGATAGCAGGAATCTACCCTCTTTTCGGAGGCCCAGTTCTCGCTGGACCCTTTGGAAACTTTGCTTCCCATTCTTCCAATATGAAATAAGAAAATTCCAGGGAAATTTTCTTAAATAAAGCAGAAACAAAGCCTTATATCTTTGCCTTAATTATGCAAAAAAAGTTCTAGGGATAAAAAAAGACTAATAAAAAGAGCTATGACTGAAATTATTTTCCTGAATTTTTTTACTTATCTTCATAAAATATAAAAGATAATTTAAGAACAATAATGTAAATTTAATGACGTCCAACTCTCCGTCCTGTTACACACAGTCCCATAAGATTGTATTATTTATTTTGTTTGGAAATCAACCCAGTTTTCTGATCCTTGCTCTGGTGGCAGTGCCTGATGCATTTTACTGCTAATCAGAAGGTTGGCAGTTTAAATCCACCAGCCTCTTCACAGAAGGAAGATAGGGCAATTACTTGCGTAAATATTTACTGCCTCAGAAACCCAATGGGAGTTGATATGAGTTAGAATCGACTAGATGGCAGTGAGTTTGGGTTCTTTTTTCTTCCTTTCTTTCTTTTTTGGGATATTCTATGTATAAGCTCTAGAGTCCACAGGTTCAGCAGCCCTAAGTGGGTTAACACCTTGTCCACTATTTCCTAAATGACAGGTGAGTGCCAGTCCTTCCTCTGCACTTATATGGCATTCAGTCATCCCTGACTCTTGGTGACTTGTGGCATATTGAGGATAGCATTTGAAATAGGAGCTTATTACAAAGTAATGGAAATTCCTTGCTTTTATTGTGTATGCACAGAAAACAACATTTGGATCAATTTACAAGTTTCTGCAAAACACTGTCAAGAAATAATTTCATTTGTGCTTTAGCAAGAAAATAATGTATCTATGCTGTGCCAGATGCCTTTTAGAATGCATCTCTGAGCTTTACTGAGGCACTGATTGAAGAAATTGAACTCCTGTTAGTGGCAGAGACACTGCCTGCCATTCCTTCGCTGTCCCTGTTGACTCTCCCAAGGGTGCCCAGCGGAGGCCATGCCATTCAAAAAGCAGCTCTGTTCTCCTTGACAGCCCTCAGGGCTTCTTTTCTGGGAGGCTGTTCTCCCACATGGAACCAGCTGCTCCCCAGTCAACAGCCTATGATACATGCCTCAAGGATGCATCATGGATTTTGTCTGGAAACCAGCACCAGACTTTTTCCTTTGTAGGCACTTTCTCCTTTTGGTTGCAGTGTGAGTGGATTATTGACAGGCTTGAGGATGAGATACCCTGTGACCCAAATGAACATTTTAAGGCTAATTGCAAACTGATTTCTTTTTTGCAATGTGTACTGTAAAAACAGCAACTGAAATAAGAGCATAAACATATGATTTGTCAAATTCAAGGAGGTAGATTTAGTTCTCTGTGTTTTTGATTGGTTCTTTCTCTTCAACAGCATGTACTGCATCCCTTGCGAAGGACCTTGCCCCAAAGTCTGTGAGGAAGAGAAGAAAACAAAAACCATTGATTCTGTGACTTCTGCACAAATGCTCCAAGGATGTACCATCTTCAAGGGCAATTTGCTCATTAATATCAGGAGAGGCAGTAAGTATTCTGTCCACTGGGAGAGATGACAGGGTCTCTTGGTTTCATTTGTTGCTATTTCTGGTCCTTGAGTTACAACTAAAATATTGGCCTGGAAAAACAACATGGTACATAAACCCCATGTGTGAGACTTCTCCTTTGAGTTTTTCTCAAAGATAAACAGCTGAAAGGGCAGTCTATGTCTTAGCCATTGGGACAACGTTTATTCCCACAAAGAGTACCATCCCTCCTTTCTGTTAGTCTTATCTTATGTAAGAGAAGCATGCCCCGACACACATGAATCCCAGAAGAGACCAATGGATCAGAGGTATGACTCAGCAGCCAAATTCTGACATCTTTTAGTCCAAAGAGTTTTGGTCACTTGGATTGATTGAGATGATTGGGTAAAAGGAGAAGTTTAGTGGTAGCACCTTAACTTTAAAGATTCTGTTAAGTCCAGTGGAGTGGTTGAGCTCCAAATTTACTTCTGAGATCCAAAGAGATATAAGTATGTTCCATCTTGTACTTGAGGCTTCAGACTCACCCCAGTAGGATCACCACTATTTACAGTAGATAGAATTCCTGGTAAGTTGCTTTTGAATTGCATTTGTGCAAATGCTTTCCAATTGACTTCTTATTCTATGATGTTTTCCCTTCTGACTTTTAATTGACAAGACTCCAGATACTTAAATTCTCTGCCATTGGGACCACCAAAGGTACCGATAGTTTGAGAAGGTAGAATAAATATAGTAAGAAGACCTTGAAATTGAAAGATCTTTTTTGAAGAAATTTCTTTTACAGTTTTTTTTTTTAGAAAAAGATGACCAATTTATTTATTCTGTGAAATTTACTTAATAATATTTGTTAAGTGAGTGAATTATCTTTTTATGTTTTACAGATCTTTTTATGGTTCCAGCATAAACAACTTTTTACTTAGTTCTTTTGAATTTACTGATACCCCTAGTTTTTTTTATAACACTCTGTACCCCTCCACAAGGAGTAAAGTTTTGTTTCCACAGCTATAACTTCTTACTTTGAATGTTTTCCTAAAGTTTTATTCCTTACCTTTTACTAGATTTCTTAATTTATTTTGAATTTTCTCATTTCCTAGAAGATACCTTTTAAGTGTCCAATCCTTTTCATCTTCCTCTCCTGAAGATAAAAATTTAATCCATGTCCTGATAAATGCCACAACATGGATGAATCTTGAAAACATTATACTGAGTGAAATAACCCAGTTGCAAAAAGACAAATACTGTATGATTTCACTTTTATGAAATAAGCAAAAATATAGAAACCAAGATTATTAGTAAATACAGGGATAGGAGAGAGGAAGAAAGGCAGATATTTTTTGCTTAGGGAGCACTGAGTTATATTAATGGTGGTGGATTAATTTGGAAAGGGATAGCAATAATGAAGAATGTATCAGTGTTACTGAATTATACGTATAGTAATTGTTGAATCGGTGAATGTCTTGTTATGTATATTTTCACTATGATAAAAAAAAATCCATGCTTTTAATCCATGGATAAGTATAATTTGAGAAGGAATTAATAGATATTCATGCATGATGATGAAATGTGTCTTCCAGTTTATGTACAGTACAGGATATCAGTCAGTTTAGGATGATGGTCATCTTATGGAAAGACATTTCCCTAGCCTTCACTAAGGTGCATATGTCCTGCCCTAAATTTAAACAGCTTTTCCTTGAAACATCAACTGCAAACAGTCTTCAGTCTTTATGCCTTTAATTTCTCTTGGGAGGCTATTAAACTGCATATTAAGTATAACCAAAACACCAAACCCACTGCCAGCAAGTCAATCCTGACTCATAGTGACCCCCGTTGGGTTTCCCAGGCAGTAAATTTTTACAGAAGTAAATTGCCCCATCTTCCTTCAGTGGAGCCACTGGTTGACAGTCAAATGCCTTAGGCACTGTGCCACCAGAGCTACTTGTATTAAGTATAGAGCCTTGTTATTAGTTGCCATGAGTCAATTCCAACTCATGGCTAACCCATGTGTGCAGAGCAGAACTGCCCTACAGGGTTTTCAAGGCTGTGTCCTTCCAGAAGCAGATCATCAGGCCTTTCAAATCGCCAACTTTTTGGTTAGTACTCTAGTGCACCAGCCAATGACTCCATGAACCTCTAGAAAAAGATTCTTATTCTTTTATTTTTATCAATTCAAAGGCAAATAAAGCCTTTTATTAAAAAAACCATCATGAATTATGCAAAATGAAATCCTTTTAATTGAATCATGCCCAATTCATTATAGTATTTATTATAATTTTGGCATAAGTTGACATTTACTTTTTTAATGGACTATGAGAAAAAGGTAGCCTCAATAAGATTAAAAGAAACAAGCTGTTTATATAGATCATATCATTCTTGCCTATATATTAGCAACTATTTTTCCAACTTTTTTCTAGTTATGAAAGTAATACAGATATAATAGAGGAAATCTAGAAACACAGAAATGAATTTTTTAGATCACTTGCAGATAGCCATTGTTAACATTTTGGTGTGTTTTGCTTCCAGGCTTAGTAAGATAGAATCTTTAAATATAGATTCCTGTATCTTAGGAACTAGAATTGAAAGGCAGCAAAGGCAGTTGATAATGAGACTGAGAAAATGTTGTTTATTTAGTCATGCCCTTGTACTGTGGAGGCAGTGCTGTCTGTTGACATAGCATATAAAAAGACGTTCCCTAGATTTGTCGGCCCTTGATAATTGGCAGTCTAATATTTATGATTTTGCATTCTGTTAATCAGCCTGGGAAGCTGCAGCACCCAGCCCCATAGCAATTGGCCTCCCCCTGCCTCAGAGACCTTGTCTGGGAGTGGTTGTAGAAGAAAGGCCAGCCTAGGAAAGCACATTTTTAAAAAGAAAAGGTCCTGAGCATCTCAATCACCCCACCAAAACAAGACATGACACTTAATTGTTCTCCAGAGGTGTTTTTTAAGAAATAAACCTTGAAAACATTGTGCTGAGTAAGGTAAGTCAGTCACAAAAGGGCAAATATTGTATGATATACTTATATGAAATACCCAGAATAGGCAAAAGTATAGAGATCAAAGTTTATTAGTGGTTACCAGGGGTGGGTGGGAGAAGAGGAGGAAAGGGGATGTCATTGCTTAGAAGATTACTGAGTTTCTGTTAAGGGTGATGGAAAAATTTGGAAATGGATAGTGATGATGGTTCAACAACATGAGGAGCATAACTAATGACACTAAATTGTACATGTGAAGATTGTTGAAATGGTAAATATTTTGTTTCATATGTGTTTACTGCAATAATAATAATAACACTAAACATGTCACCCTTAGGCTAAGTGAATTCTTAGTAACACTGCCTCCTTTTAATTTAGATAACATAGCCTCAGAGCTAGAGAACTTCATGGGTCTCATTGAGGTCGTGACAGGTTATGTGAAGATCCGCCATTCCCATGCCTTGGTCTCCTTGTCCTTCCTGAAAAATCTACGCCAAATTTTAGGAGAGGAACAGCTAGAAGGGTAAGTGTTCCACATTTCATGAGCAGGCATCATTCTCATTTTGGCTTTACAAAATAAGTAGTGTACCTTTAAAATTCTGGGTGACTAAAGTAAGAACCTTTTTCTTTAAATAGAAGAAAGGGAGGTATGCCTGGGTTAACACTTTCCCTGCTTGAGGGGCCACCTGCTTCTGGACAGACCTTCATAGAGTCATGATTCTCTGTCCTTAGGATGTTGCTGTTTTGGAAAGTAGGCATGTTTTCCATCTTACTATCTTGTGACCCATCAGCCAAGGATTATATGGGGGCTCTTTCTTCCAAGGGTGACAGAAATCTCTTAAATGTGCTTAACTACAGGGAAAGCATAATTCCATCACCCTCAACTTGACTATGTGAAAGCCATTCCAGCTTTTCAAAACATATTGGAGCACAAGATATTTGGAGATATGTGGACAATTCTTTTTGTTATAAATAAATCTTGATTTACAAAATTGTTTTCATTGATTAGCTTATAGGATTCACAAGCTATTATTGATGGGATTTTTGGCATCTGCAGGAATGTGCTATGTGATAGGAGTTTTAAAGTAACCATAGGCTTTTCACTGGAGGATAAAAGCTTGTGCTTACTGCATGCATGCTTTCTTCCCAAGAGTGAGACCGGGTGTACCTTTGCATATCTACTTCTCTCTTCACATCTGCCCCTTTAAATAGAGCTCATGCCTGGCTTTAAGCTGACACTTTGAGATAAAAGGAGACTTATCTATTAATGAGTGAATTCCTTATAAAGAGAATTTGTTGAGGAAATAATTTAGAGGGGAAAGGAGGTGGGAAGGTCATGGGAAAGGTTGTCCTTGTTGATTTATTGGCCTGGACCGGATAAAGTTACCACAGAATGGTTTCTTTACAGTCTCCTTGTTTTTCTCAGGCTACCTCTTAGTCAGTCTTAAATTCTTAAAATTCCGCCATCTCATGTAGCTAGAGAGAGAGGGCAGTTCTTCATTCCATCTTTGAAAAGCACATGGTCCTCCCCATTGGGACATTGATTCTTTAGGAAAACTTCTTTCTTGTTTCAGATTCAGGAAGGCCACCCCTATGACCAGACCAGATTGACTGACTCTGGTCACCTGAGTGGCAAGCTGGGGCCCTGCCAATTTGAGTTGGTGGTTAGTGATTGTTGTACTAAGTCAATTTTTATCTCCAACTTGTATTTGTGTTTCTGGAACCCCTGGTATCAAGAAACACTTTTTCTGTGGCAGATTGGAATCTTTCACCTTTTCCTCCTACTTAGACACTCTTCTTTTTCAGTCTGAGCAGGTGACAGAGGTGAAAAGTGAGAAGAAAGTTTCATTCATTCTTTTTTATTTTTAATGTATTTTATTGAAATATAATTTATGTACAGTGAAATACACAAAACTAAGGTGACATGGGTCAATGCATTTTTTTCTTTTTTTTTTTTTTGCAGTGTTCCCTGCCCCCCTCCCACCCCCAGCAACCAACAAAGAACGTTTCCCTCCATATATAAACCTTTCCTTGACCCTACACAACAACAAACTAATACTATATTTGTCCTTCAGTGATTGACTTATTTCAGTCAGCATAATGTCCTCCAAGTTCATCCATATTATGCGATCTTTTGCATGATTCTTTCTTTGTCTTTGGTTTATTCTTTAGTACTGCATAGCATTCCATTAGGTATATGTACCATAGTTTGGTCATCCGCTCTTCCGCTATAAATCTTAGAGATAAGTCCCTTGCCAGGTATGTAGTTATTGGCAAATAGGAATTTGTTTCTGTCACTTTTGTTATGTGCTTTTTCGTGGTGTCAATTTCTTTGTTCCATATGATTTTCTATGCTGAGCTCGTTTTGTTTATGAATCATGCTTCACTTCTTTCATTGCTATTGTTTTAGTATTTGCTGAATATTTATGCTGGTCCTCTCTTTTGATGTGAAGGTTTATCATTTTTCTTCGAGGTTACCCTGTGATTTATAGTTTTCTTCCCAAGTTTAGAACAGTGCATTCTATCTTGTAATTGTCTTGACTTCCTAGCATCTGGAAATTCTGTAACGACACAGTTTTTTTCCCTCTTTTTGGTTTGTCATTGTCCTCATTTGTCAATTGATATCTCTGGTTCCCTGTTTACAATCTTGTAGACTTATTTACTTTGGATATTTCTATAGCTGGGTTGGTTTCTGGGTTATATCATCATGTGTGTTAATGGTTGGTTGTTGTTGGCTGTTGTTGCTTCTCTGTCCAAAGGATTCCCTTTAGCAACTCTTGTAAGGTTGGTCTGGTTTTAACAAATTCCCTTAATTTCTGTTTATCTGGAAATGTCCTAATTTCACCATTATATTTGAGGGACAGTTTTTCTGGGTACATAATTCTTGGTTGGAAATTTTTCTCTTTCATTGTTTTATATATAACATCCCACTGTCTTCTCGCCTGCATGGTTTCTGTTGAGAAATCCATGCTTAGTCTTATTGGTTGCCCCTTGTAGGTAACGTTTCATTTTTTGTGTGCTGCTCTCATGATTCTTTCTTTGCCTTTGGTTTTGGTACGTTTGATGATATGTTTTGGTGATTTTCTTTTGGGGTCTATCCTGTTTGGGGTTCGATGGACTTCCTTAATGGATATATTTTCATCTTTCTTCATATCAGGAAAATTCTCTTCCAACAAATCTTCGACAATTTTCTCTGTGGTTTTGTGTCTTCCTGTTCTGGAATTCCGATTACACATAGGTTATTTCTTTTGATGGTATCCCACAGGAACCTTAGGGTTTCTTCATTTTGTTTTGATCTTTTTTCTGATTTATCCCTTTCCAAAGAAATGTTCAGGTATTTGCCTTCAGTTTCCCTAATTCTGTCTTCCATTGATTCAATTCTGCTCCTTTGCCCATTCAGAGTCTTATCTATTTCTGAAAATATAGTATTAATCTTACAGATTTCTGTGTGTAGATTTTGTATCATTTCTAATTTTTCATTTGTTTTGTCATTTTGTTCTTGTATTGTCTAGGGTTTTCTCTGTGTTTTCCTTGATCTGTGTCTCAATTTGTTGAAGATACCTAAATATAATTCTTTTGTATTCCTTATCAGGGAGTTCCAATACTGCGTCTTCCTCAGGGATGTGTTTTGGGTCTATATCCTGGTCCCTTGTTTCTCCTGCTTTATCTTGCTTCTTTGTGTGGACTGTAATGCTCTGTTGTCTCTGAGACATTGTGACATTTTTGTGTTTATATTTAATTGGTGAATGTATGTTGGAGTGACTTACCCACAATTTTTGTTTTGTTTGTATGTTATCTACACAAGCAGGGTACTGTGCTCTGCTCCTCTATTTGCTAGTGGTCAGCACTTACACATTCACCACCTGTCTCCTTTCCTGTTGCTAGCCTCTCATATGTCCCCACCACCCTTGGCAAACAGAGCCTATTCCTAGGTCCCTGGAATCCAAATGAGAATGCTATCACTTTAAAATCCAAAGTGGTTGCCATGTGTAAAGATTCAAAATGGTTGCACCTGCGGTCACTTTAAATATCCAAAATGGCCACCGCTTGTAAACATTCAAAATGGCTGCGCTCTTGGTTACTTTAAATATCCAAAATGGCTGCTACTTTAGACATTCAAAATGGCTGCACCCTCCAGACAGCAGAAAGTCAACAGCTCAGGTTGTCTCCCACCTTGCTGTTTCCCTTCCTAGTCATAGGCCACCAGCATAGTCATCCCTGCAGCCCCTGGTGACCAGGACCGATCTTTTTTAGGTCAATTCTCAGGTCCCAACATCACTTGGAGCTATTCAGGCTGTTGGTCCTGTCAGAGTAGCTGACGGTCCAGAGCTCTGACCATTTCTGTACTCACTGTTTTCGTTCAGGATTTTCCCACTAGTTGGTGCCTAATCCATTTCCGTATAGTTCCTTTCAAAGCTCAGGGCTCCAGGATTATCTTCTGTATCTCTGTCAATTGGTTTTTCTTTTCTTTGTTGAAGAGGGTCTGTGTTGCTTGTCTGCCTATTCCTCCATCTTACTGAAAGAGTTTCATTCATTCTTATTAGAGATTACCTTTTAGTTGTGTGTTGACTTCAAATATGTGCACTTAAATATAACTAAAAATTAAATGCTGATTTTTATTTGCATCTATGTTGATGGTATATTTCTCATTATCTGAACTTCTATAAAACCTGATGATATATGAGTGGAATCATTTTAAGGATTCATGTTCTTGCTCAGGTGTTTGAGAGGTTTCACAAGTAAGCTCCCAGCCCCCTACCTTGCTGTTATTGTTGAAATGGGAGGGGAGGGCAAAGGAGCCTCAGGTTTTCACTACAATGTGCTGCTTATCAGTAGCCCTGTGGAAGGGTTTTGTAGCTCTGAGGATGCTGGGCTTCCAACCTTTGATGCCTGCCTGCTCCTTCTTGGAGGCTCCTTCTGTAGCTAGGGCTCTTGAGAGCTTGCCTGTCTTTTTTTCTTTCTTTCTTTTTAATTTATATTTTAAAAATATTTTATTGTATTTTTGATACTGCATAACATGGATGAACTTGGAGGACATTATGCTGAGTGAAATAAGTCAATCACAGAAGGACAAATATTGTATTAGTCCGTTATTAGAAAAAGTCAAGGAAAGGTTTATATATGGAAGAAGATGTTCTTTGTTGGTTACCAGGGGTGAGATAGAAGGGGAGGGAACACTGTTGGATAGGTAGAGAGAAGTATTGATTTGGGTGAAGAGAAGGGCAATGTACCAAATGTGAATGATCAATATGGTGGCATTGAGGAAGAGGAAGACATAGAGAGGTGCATGGGAGATACAGACAACAAAAATGAACCCTTTAGCACATACAATAATATTACATTGTCAGTGAAAGCAAACATTGATATACGAGTAGATAGATGGGTGGGCAGGGTGAACGATTAGGTATGTCTGTGCAGGGGGGAGTGTACCCATGACCATATATGGGGTTGGCAGACAATGTTTCTACAAGTGTATTTGTATGTTCTGTAGGAATTCCCAGGTGTATAGTACAGCTGACAAAG